GTCTTCTCAGGCATTTAAAACTCTACAGAGCACTTTCCATTGATTTTACCCTGTGATCTATGTGGTAGCCTTCACTCACATGCAGGGTCCATGCTTCAGTGTTTCTCAGTCTTCTAAGTCTTCAAACCTGGCAATCCTCCTCTCTGTAAGACCAGCCCCCCACCCCACCCCACCCCACCCCGCTTTGTTGCCCAGCATTTCTATACTGATTGCTGATCTCCACCCTGACCAATCCAGGATTTTGTATTCACTTTCTCATTTTCAATTTGCATCTGTCTTCTAAGAATGAAATCCATAACCTTTCTCTTTGTTAAGATAACTTGATTTATCACCTGTTTCCCCCTCCTCAGGGAGATGTGGCATGGTGTCCAGGGCATCCTTACCTCCTTACACCACCATTTATCTATGTCATTTTTTATGTGTGTGGGTGGTGCTGGGAATTGAATCCAGAGCCTAACATTTGTAAGCTATATAGTGTTTACCTGTAAGCAAGAGCCCTCCAGAAGTCTCATATTTGATGCAAGCAAGCAAACCTCCTTTGAGTCCACACAAGGTGTTTCTTTTGTACATTTCATAGAAATAGTGGTGGTATTTGAATATCTTCTAAAAGCCATACTGAAATTTAATTGCCATTGTCACAGTATTAAGAGAAACTGTGTTCCTGTCAAAAAGGATTAGTTCAGCCCATTTGTCCTGACTCATCCAAACTGCTCTTGCCAGATGCTGGGACCCGAACTTTTCAGTCTTCAGCACCAGGTTCCAAATGAACCTGTAATATCTGTAAACTACACAGCCTGTGGTATTCCATGACAGCAGCACAAAATAGACCTGCATAAATAACTTATGCCCACCCATCCCATTTCCTCATTAATATACTTTTTTATTTTATTCCTAGTAAACTATGGAAATTATCCCCCCATTGGCTTCCTTTTTCTTTATTCTTTAAACACTTGACAATTTTTTCCTCCTAAACAACTTTTTAGATTCTCTCCTACATTCTACTCACCTCTCTCACAGGGTTCCATGTCCTTTTTTTTTTTTTTTTTAAAAAAAATCTAGTTGCTGACATCCCAAGAAAGCCTGAAGTTCTTTCCCTCATAATTTTATACTGTACCTGACAGGCTGCCTTCAAACTTTCAAACTTGGTGCTTTCTATTTTGTAGTTCTATAGCTTAAGCCTTGACTTTTTTCCACGCCAGAATGCTATCACCTACTTGTATCATCTACAAGTTGAGCTTGCTAGTCAATCTCTCCAGTGCTCCTAGAACAAATTTACTGATTTTCTCTCCAAAACTTCTCAAACTGTCTTATTTTTTAAAAAATATTTTATTATTTTATGTGTATAAATGTTTGCCTGCATATATGTCTGTGTACCACATATATGGTACATATATTTGTGTCTGATGCCTGCAGAGGCCAGAAGACGGCATTGTGTCTCCTGGGATTAGAGTTGCAGATAGATATTTACTACCATGTGGGTGCTGGAAACTGAACTCAGGTCCTCTGGAGGAGCAACAAGTGCTCTGGATAATCACTGAGCATCTCTCCAGCCCCCAAAATTGTATTATTTCTGATACTGGTTCTTATCATTCACCTAGCATTCTGAGTACTGCTGTGGGATGGTCTGTATGTCAAATATGTTGCTGATTGGTCAATGAATAAATCACTGATTGGCAGTGGCCAGGCAGGAAGTATAGGCGGGACTAACAGAGAGGAGAATAGAGAGAACAGGAAGCTGGGTGAGAGAGACACTGCCAGCTGCCACGATGACAAACAGCATGTGAAGATGCCGGTAAGCCACCAGTCATGTGGCAAGGTATAGATTAATGAAAATGGATTAATTTAAGCTGTAAGAACAGTTAGCAAGAAGCCTGCCACGGCCATACAGTTTGTAAACAATATAAGTCTCTGTGTTTACTAGGTTGGGTCTGAGAGGCTGTGGGACTGGCGGGTGTCAGAGATTTGGCCTGACTGTGGGCAAGGCAGGAAAACATTAGCAACAAATGGCGTCCAACGTGGTGGCAAGAGTTTCCACCTAAAAACTGAGAAAAAAGATTCTAAAACGGAGCTAAAAACAGTTCCTAGTTGTCTCTTTCAAGTTAGCGGCAGCCTGTCGTTTTGAGCTACTGGTGGGTTCCTAGCAAGAGCACTCGACCTGCAGTATGGCGGGAATGAGGCCTCTGCAAGTGGCACATTAAGCTGCTTGATGGATTTAGCCTTTGCTAGTACAAAACAACAAAAAAAAAGAGGTTTCTGGGCTACATGCTGCTTGGATAAAAGCATAGACCCACGATGGCTCCCAGAGCTGGCGGTAAGCATACCGCCTCCATGTTGGGAAGCTGAAGTGAGCGGAGCCAGCAGCCACAGCACCAACGCCATTTCAGGCTTAGAAGGCTGCAGTTCAAAGCAATAGGCTCAAGCTAATATAAAAAAATAAGCCACGTAAAGATGGCTACCACACAAAGAATCTGGATTATGTTCTCTTTGATATTCGTAACTAAAGAAAAACATTTGATCATAAAAGATGTTGAGTTATGCCAAAATGTATATTTTAAAGGTACCTTGACTTCAAATTGTGGATATAAGGATATGTTGCTTTGGAAAGGAGATTCTGTTTTTGTTTCCACAGAAAGCCAGAGGCTATGGATTTGTTCCAGATTAAGACACATCAGGTTTGACCAGCCAAGACCCCCTGAAAGGTCTCTGATGACACCATGGCCCAGATGATCCAACATCCAGAACTGTTTCAAGGCAACTGGCTCAGACGATACACCCTCATGGACTACTCCATAATCCTAAAATATTCTTTGTGTCCCCATAAGATACAGCGCCCCCCTCCAGCAGGAAGTAGTATGAGAAGCTATGCCCAAATTCCCAAATGTACCAAGCTGACTTTGGAGATATGTAAAGGTTAAAACCTTCCTTTTTAAGAAAAGAAAAGGGGAAGTGCTGTGGGATGGTCTGTATGTCAAATGTGTTGCTGATTGGTCAATGAATAAATCACTGATTGGCAGTGGCCAGGCAGGAAGTATAGGTGGGACTAACAGAGAGGAGAATAGAGAGAACAGGAAGCTGGGTGAGAGAGACACTGCCAGCCGCCACGATGACAAACAGCATGTGAAGATGCCGGTAAGCCACCAGTCATGTGGCAAGGTATAGATTAATGAAAATGGATTAATTTAAGCTGTAAGAACAGTTAGCAAGAAGCCTGCCATGGCCATACAGTTTGTAAACAATATAAGTCTCTGTGTTTACTAGGTTGGGTCTGAGAGGCTGTGGGACTGGCAGGTGTCAGAGATTTGTCCTGACTGTGGGCCAGGCAGGAAAACTCTAGCTACAGAGTACTCATTTTGTATTCAGCAAATATCCATTGTGAGCTTTATATGTATTCATTAACAACAGTTCTAGTTCCTAGGGACAACAGACAGAAAAAAAATGAATGGGGTTCTTGTCTTTGTGGAGTATGTAGAGATACACAACAAAAGTAACTCAGGAAGATGAATTTTGGTAGAGAAAAGTTCTGTAAAGAAAATTAAGTGATGCTTGGTGTAGTGGTACATGTCTTTCTGTAATCTTATCGCTTGCGGGGGTAGAGGCAGGTGGATCTCTGTGAGTTTCAGGCTAGCCTGGTCTACATAGCAAGTTCCAGGCCAGCCAATGCTATATAGGGAAACCCTGTTTTAAAAGTAAATAAATAAATGACTAAACAAACAAATAGATAAAAGTTGAATGAAACTACCGTTGTGAAGAATGAAGCTCAGTAGTAAGACAGTCATATGAGGAAAGATGGTCCAGGAGGCCACTCTGAGGAAGAGACATGTCAACTGAGTCTAAACACGAAAGTGCCAATTGCACAAACAATGAGGAAGAGTTTCCTGAATAGAGGGATTAGGGAGTACAAAGCTCTCACAATATGCTTACCTCTGCTTCCTGGACTCTAGCTTCACCCTAACTTCAGATGCTTGTCCATTCTTGTCTGCTCATGCAGAGTGGCCTTAGTTTTTGTCCCTCTAGGATGCATTTCTCCAGGGCTGAGCCCTTACGAACTCTCTCTCCTTAGTCCCTGATCCTGTGCAACTCAGTTATTACTACAGAACTTCTTTCTGAACGTGAGACTCTACACTGTACCCTCACTTCAGAACCTCCCAGTATCCACTGGACCCATGAAGTTGGAAAGTAACATTCAAAGCTTTTCATGATATGACCTTAAAATATCTTTTAACTCTTTCCTGCATGTTGACAGACACAAGTTACCGACTTGATTTCGAAGTACACCCTTAACCACTTCTGTCTCTCGAAAGGCCTGCACTCTTCATTAAACACTCCAAAGAGGCCCACAGTCTTCACCTGGTTAGAGTAACTGCCATCTCCTCACACACAGCATGGGCCAGTCATACCTCTCCAAGCTCTATTACACTCCATTTTCTCCCCTTAAGACCTTTCAGAATTCTCTGTTGTCATCCCCAAACAACTTTATCCCTACTGGCATTTGTCACGTTTGTCCAGGAATGAGGTTATGTGTCCATCTATCTCCCTTTCTCCACCCGTACTTGGTTGCAGATGTTGAGGATAGTTTCCACGCGTTCTTTTTCCCTGTGCTAGCACACTGCCCCACACGTAGAAGATATTTGCTGGACAGATGAAGGCATTCAGCAAACCTGAATCTGATTAACTAATATTTATTTCATGATACTCCATGTGTTTTCCTTTTTATCATTCCTCTGCTTCATTTCTCATGAGAGCTCTATGTGAACAGACATAGAGAACAGGGAGAAAATGCAGTTTGTTTTGAAACAGTCTAGTTAGTTTTAATCTGGTTGAATGATTACAAGTTTATATTGTGGAACATTAGAAGTGATTGGGTAATCGGTATACCATGCAATAAATAACTGTTTATGAACTACTAATTGATTGGCTTTCCACGTAGGATCCATAATACTTCTTAACATATCCCAGGGCCTAAATATTACAATTTTACAACCAAAGAAGCTCACACTTACCACATTACTGCATGTTCTATATCGAATATTTCTTCCTTCACAGCTCCTAGGTCACAAAAAGAAAAAAAAATGTAATATTTAGTATTACCTATGAGAGGCTCAAAGTTTGGACCAATTTCCTCTTAGTACTAATGGTAAGTCTTTTTCTTCTAAATATATTATTTAAATTGATACCATTAAACACTGAATTGAACAGATCTAAAGAAGTTGGATGTATACACTGATTTCTCTAAAAAAGTTAAAATGAAGCATTTATATTGGTTTAAATTTTTAAGACCTTAAGAAGATACAGTCAGTATTTCAGCATGGATAAGAGAGGATCATCAGGCCCCATCCTCAGAGGAAGAGGGATTGACAGCTGATGGCTGCTGAAGGAAGAAGCAGTATTCTTCAGAAGTGTTACCCATAAAAGATTATCCAAGTTCCAGTATGTGGCCCCATATTCATGTACATGTAGGCAGCAAATGGGCAGCACTAAATTCAGTGGGTTGTAAAAGGGGGGCATTAAGTTGAGAGGAGGGTGTGGAGGCAGGTGGTTGGGAACGGCTGGAGGGTGGAAGTGGTAGCATATATAATAAATATAAATTGTATGTGTGTATGAAATTCTTGAAGAATAAATAAAAAACATTATATTTAAATAACATATCACTATCGCCTCATTTATTTCCTTGCAAGGCAGAGGAAATCACATCACTTACACCATTTTATAGCCTGTTTTTCTCCCTCCACTTAAAGATTTTCTTTAAAGAAATTAAAAAATCCATTGTGTGTATGTGTGTGTGTGTATGTGCACGCGCGCGTGGTGTGTGCCATAATGTACATATGTAGATCAGAGGACAATTTGCATGAGTCAGTTCTCTCCTTTCACCTTATGGGATCTAGCAATCAAACTCAGGTTTTCAGGTTTGTTGGCAAATATCTTTACCCACTGAATTGTCTAGCTGGCCCTCCGCTGAAATTTTTTTGAAGATTCCTGTCCATGCTATTAAAATACTTTAAAGATACTGTGTTGACAGCTATATAATATTTCATCAAATGGTACAATTTATATAACCACATCCATTCCTTGTAATTTATGTAATTTTATAGGATTCAATACGTGAGAGTATAACAAACCATCTCCATGAACAATTTTTATACAAGTTTCTGACCATGTCTTTAAAAATAGATAAATTTCTAGAATCAGAATTACTGAACTAAAGGGAATACACTTTGGTAAGGCGCTTGAAAATTATTGCCAAATTGCATTCCATAAAGGGTGTGCTTATTACATACTCCTACCAGCACTGCATGGGAGTTTCCATTTTACTAAATTCTCATGAACAAAAATAATTGTTTTTTGCTAAAACATTCAGTGATGACAATTCATGAACAATAGTGTTCTACTCTTTTCAAGTAAACCCCCACTTTTGAGAAAGCAAGGAAAATCATATTATAAAATTTTCAGAGAATTATGCAAGTAGTTAACAGGTATGGAGTCCTAGAACTAATTTTAAGTTACATGCTTATTTGATCTATCAAATGTGGTATGATCATTGCATTCGTTTTACAGATGAGATGATGTCTAAAGGGGATTGTCAAAGCCCCGCAAATGCTAAGTGGTGGAGTAATACTGAAATAGGCCACTTGGTTTCAGGACTTTCATTTATAATCACACCTTGCTCCCACTTCAGCAACATGTTGGAGCTACTGTTACAGTCTGGGAAGGAACTGACCTCGAAAAATGCAAAGTAATGAATATGACTTGGCAATACAATTAGGCATCAAAATAGTGATTGTGTTAGGTCTTAAAAATGTCAACAAAAACAAAATGGCATCTGGAAACATAATTACACACAGGCTGTTTTAGGCATAGAGATTTGGCTTCAACCCAAATTAACTGCTTTAATATACATTAAAATTAGAATTAGAAAAGGAAGGCATCCAAATTGTTGAAAAAAGGGAGAATCAACAGATATGCATGTGGTCAACGAGACCAGCAATACTCTAGGGCCAATGTAGTTGAAGTTGGTCATTGGCCAGGCTGCTGTTGTTGCCTCAATAGATGATAACACTGAATGGTTAGCTCATATGAGGAGAATCGCTCATCAGATGCCATGTTGGCCAAGATGCTTTCCGAGAATGACCTAACTCTAATGATTGCTGAGAGGTAGAGTGTTGGCTATGTTGGCATGAGTATGCTGATCCATGTTTGGATAGGCAAGGGGGACCACAGTAAACTCTAAAACACAAAAGGTGTAATAACTCTATACTAGAAAATCTGATTTTACTTGAAAAACTGAACTCTGTGTAATCTTTGAGGCAATCATGTCATTTTCTATATTTTCATTTTCATGTCTTAAACATCTATGTATGAAGATAATAATGGAAACAGTTCTGAATTAGGAGTTTTAAGATCAGAATCTTTGCTCTTTTACTTGAGTCAACCCCTTTCCCTGATTTTAGGATCTTTGTTTGGTCTCCCATCAAATGGCTTCAGGAGTATCAGCATAAAGCTCTGTTCAAATGATGGGGGGCCATTACAATGCATCACCACAGAACAAGACAAAGAAAGCAGTTTGAATATATATACTTCAATAATTTTAATTTACTTTCTTCCAGAGATTTTAAATTATAACTGTATATGCAGAATTGGCAGTGGGACCGGGTCCTGTGCTCATTGCATGAGTTGGCTGTTTGAAACCTGGGGCCTATGCAGGGTCGCTTGGCTCAGCCTGGGAGGAGGGGACTGGACCTACCTGGACTGAGTCTACCAGGTTGATCTCAGTCCGCTGGGGAGGCTTTGCCCTGGAGGAGGTGGGAATGGGGGGTGGGCTGGGGGGAAGGTGAGAGGGGGGCGGGAGGGGGGAGAACAAGGGAATCCATGGCTGATATGTAGAACTGAATTGCATTGTAAAATAAAAAAATAAAAATAAAAAAATAATCCTTGGAACAGGAGAGATACCATTTTGATAAAGCAAAAACAAAAACAGAGGAAATGTTTTTCTTTATATTCTTCAAATAATATCATATAATTATCTAGCATTTAATATTGATTTATATGTCACTTATGCTCCTAAACAACGTCTTTTTCCATGTTATATTATGAAGTTGATTGTCCATTTAACTTAACAAAAATATGATATTAAAATGTGCCAGTGTTCAAGTTTGGCAAATTGGTTGTTTATTACTACTACTACTACTACTTAGAGATTGCTCATGCTAGGCAAGTGCACTACTACTGAGCATATCTCTATCTTTCACAAGGTACTCACTATTGAAAGACATTGTCAAATTGTGGATAATAAATTATAATAGAAACACTTTGGCCCAGCATTTGCATATTATCTTTAACTTTTCAATATATGCAAAGTTTTATTATTCTCACTTAACAAATGAGGAAACTGAGGCTGAGAGTGTTAAGCAGGCTTAAAGCTACAGACACAGAGAAGAGATCCAGAGATTTGGAACCCTGGGCTTGACTAACTCCAAAGTAGAACACAAGAAAAGAAGCAAGATGTGAGTAGGATGTGCAAGATACTAACACAAGTATGACTCTGGGATGCTAGAAAGGGAGTGGGTCTGAGTGTTAACTTCATCTTTTTGATACCGTATCAATTTATCAGCTGCTTCTCAATTCTGGTAAATCTACTTCCCATAATGGAAACCTACACACACACACACATCACACACACACACACACACACACACACACACACACACACACACACACACACAGAGGAACATCTCCAAAAGAAACACACTCATCAGTAACACACAATGTGGAAGACTTCAGTGCAGAGATGCTCATTTTTAAAACATCAAATTTATTATATTTAAATATAAATTTTTCTCTAATTAGCAAAGTAACTCTTCCACCACAAGACTTTATTACTGTGAAGTATGAATTTCCTTATCCTAGACATTTGTCTAGACACAAAGCTTCACCCTAGAATTAAGTAGTCGGGCCTACTTCCCTCCCTCCTTTTCTCTCTTCCTTCCTTTCTTCCTTCCTTCCTTCCTTCCTTCCTTCCTTCCTTCCTTCCTTCCTTCCTTCCTCCCTCCTCTTTCCTCCCTTTCTCTCTCCCTTCTTCCTTTCTTTTTACTGAAGTTTGTTAATCTAAGACATCTGAGTGGGTTCCTTCATATTTAGGTGAATTAAAATTCACCTCTAGGATGAAAATCAACAGAAATTTCGATCTGAATAGTTTCTGAGAAATGTTACAGTGCTTCAGTAGAGCAGGATTTACAACAGCACACTCTTCTGGTGCAACCCAAAACACTTAGAGGACTGTGCTGAGTGAGGTAAGTCCTATACCAGGTGAACTCAGAAACTGGCTCAAGTATGAAATACAAACACTGGAATACTTCACAACCCCAAAGTGACCAAACAGAAAGTCCCATACTTGTTTAGTTCAGCACCCCACTCTTAGCCAGCCACTTAACTCAAACTCAAGGCCTTCTCTCAAAGAATGGAAAACACCCCAATCACAATCTACTCTTTATGAGTTTATCAGTCTTTAATTCTCTAATAGTAAGATTAGTGTGGACTCTGGGCAACATTTTCTCTAACATACAAGAAACCCTCAGACTCCCCCAGTTCCTGGTATAACTGTCAGAGTTGTCAGAGTTTTGATAGTCATAGTTTAGCAACCTAAGAAGAGATGACAAACACAGGAAGAATGTCATCCCCAAAGGGGCTTATTCACACATGGGGCTCTGTGTTCAGGCCGCTTAGTCGGCTCTAGAGCCTCGGAACCTGTAGGAACCCAGTGTAAGTGGACTACAGGGGAACAGGTCCTCTCAGGGGACACCATGAGGTAGCCATCCACTTAGCCCTTGAAGCAACAGCCACTAGAACTTGTGGATGTGTGTAAGTTTCCCCCCAGATGCTCATTGCCTTAATTTAGGTTCAAAGTGGATGCTGAAACCTGGCCTGGAACGGGTGCCTGTGTGTAACAGTAGGGGACATCTGGTCTTACCACACAGGTCAGAAAGATGAGTGTGATGCCAGGCCACATTTGCACACGGTGTGGCAAGTCTCAGGGTCTAGCCTTTTCCTTAGGC